AACGTTTTAGGGGAATTTACTTCATATCTGAGAGTTTTGCATCATTGCCAAGTGTTGTGCAGCAGCCAGGCTGCTTAGTACAAAACAGAATTAAGTTTTTCCATCCATTTTAATAATGCATTCATGCATACCAAATTTTAGCAAGCTTCAATGACACACTCACACTTCGAAGTGACAGTTAAATTAATTTCTGTCATACATAAACATCAAAATCTATGAGATTGCCTGTATGCCACTCATAAAAACCAAGGGGGGGAATATACATTTTTTTCAGATCAGTTCACAATCCTTAAAAGACTGTAGATCGGCTGGGCACGGTGGCTCAAGCCTGTAATCCCAGCACTGTGGGAGGCCGAGGCGGGTGGATCACGAGGTCAAGAGACCGAGACCATCCTGGTCAACATGGTGAAACCCCGTCTCTACTAAAAATACAAAAAATTAGCTGGGCGTGGTGGTGCATGCCTGTAATCCCAGCGACTCAGGAGGCTGGGGCAGGAGAATTGCCTGAACCCAGGAGGCGGAGGTTGCGGTGAGCCAAGATCGCGCCATTGCACTCCAGCCTGGGTAACAAGAGCGAAACTCCGTCTCAAAAAAAAAAAAAAAAAAGACTGTAGATCATAGTTGGAGAGTCACTAATGTGAAGGGTGGTTCCTAGTTGTGAAGTAGAAAGATGTCAGAAGATCCCAAACCTAGTTTTGACTGTGTCCCTTTCCAAGTATGTAATCTTGGCCATGTTCCTTAAACTTTCTGAGCTTTATCTGGCTCCTCTATGAAGTGAGGCTAACATCTTCTGTATTGTAGGTTATAATATTAGATACAGCATCTGTGAGCTAGAGAGCCTCGATGTAATTATTAGAATGTTTATTAGGGCTAAACTCAGAGAAGATACATTTACTTGAAGCTTGGGGGATGTAATTGCTCTAAGAACAGAGCTCCCCAGCGGGCAGGGTTGTTGGGAGAGGTTGCTGAAAAAGAACAGAAGCTTATTTTTTGGTGTTATGTGAGATGAGGAGGGTGCCCACTTTTTAGGGCATTGGGTGAGTACTAGTATTCAGTTTTCTGTCTCTCTAGATCTTTTCTCTAGGTTATGCGTGATTTCCATTCCATTCTCCAGTCTTCCATTCTGAATCCAAAAGCAGAAGTCCTTACAGTAGCCTACAAGCTACCCTCTCCCCATCCCATCACCAATCTGACCTCATTTTCACATTCTCTCCCCATCACTCCCTCCCTCCCTCCAGCGACACACCCTCTGCCTGGAAGTGCTCTTCCTCCAGATGTCTGCATGGCTCACTTTACCACTTCCTGGGGTCTCTGCTCAACTGTCACCTTTCCAGTGAAGCCTTCTGTGACTCTTCCATTTAAAACTGCATGCTGTCCCTACTACTGGTCCTCTTTATTCTCCTTCCTGGCTTTATTTTTCTTCGCAGGGCTTATTACCACCCTAACATACTGTATATTTTATTTATTTATTTATTTAGCTTACCATCTGTGTTTTGCCAATAGAAGATAAGCTTCGATATGGCATGAATTTCTGCCTGTTTTGTTGATGTGGATTCCCTGTCACCCAGAGTAGTGTCTGGCACGTAGTGGCAGTGACCTGTGGCAGGTTGCAGAGCCAGGACTCAGGCTTGGCTCTGTAGGTTCCCAGCTTCCTCCCATTTTTCTTTTGCTTTATAGCACAGTGGGCTTTTTCTCTGATTCATTCATTCCTCTATTTATTCGTTCACTCATTCAACAAATATTTGTTTGGTGCTTTCAATGTATTTGTAGATGCAGAAAGAAACAACTCAAAGTCCTTTCTCCCACAGAGCAAGAGAAAAAGACAGTAAAGGAGCATACAGAGTTTCAGGTGGACATAAGGGCTATAAATAAAGGAGGGAAAGGGATCTTCACAGTGACATGTAGTGTTAAGGAAAGAACTCAATGGAAGTAACATTTGAGTAGAGACCTGGAGGAGGGGAGGGAGAAAACCGTGTGAGTCCCTAGGAGAAAATGGCTCCAGGTGGAAGGGCTTGCAGGTGCAAACGCTCTGTTCTGGGAGTGAGAGGGAATGCTAGATGCCAGGTCAACGGCTAGTGGGCCTGGAGGAATGGGAAGGTCATCTCTGAGAATCTGGGAAACATGTTGATGAGCCCAGAATTATGTGAACTCCTTTTCTTGAGGGAAAGGGTGATACTCTGATCATCATCTGGAACTTTCTGTATTTAGGGACCCTAGGTCTCCAGGGGTGTAATGTGAGAGATGCGCCTCACCTGGCTCCTCCCGGGGAAGGGGGATGCTGCTTTGGGTAACTGGTTTTGGTGAGGGTTAAGAAATTCTTTCTTGGTGAGGGGGGTGATGGGGATGGCACTGGAAGGGAAGTGGCATGACTGTTGTTTCTGATTCAGCTTGAAAAGGAGGTCATTAGATGCCTGAGGCAGAGGCTGGGCCAGGCAGGAAAAACTTCCACACATGCCCCAGTCTAGGTGCAGCCCTAATGGAAGAGCAGAGTTCTTAGGAGCACAGATTGCAGCATCAAACAGGTGATTCAAATGATGACTTTACTAAGCTGTGTGAGCTTGAGGAACTCCTTCGAGATTCCGTTTTCTGATCCCTAAAAGGCAAGCCATGGTACCTCAATTCTACGTGATCGTTGTGAGGACTGAGTGAAATGACATTCCTTGAAGGACTTAGCGCAGTGGCCTAATAAATGGTAGGTACTCAAAAAGTGGTAGTTATATAATTATGACATATAATAATAGATTGTATTTAAAGTCCACCTCATGGCCCACTTCCATGCAGATGTTCCCAATGACCATATCTCCTTTCCCCGCTGCCGCTGTTGTTACCGCAGGAGTATACATTCGCATTACTTTATCCCATGGTATTTTGTTCTGTTCTCTGTTCTGTTTTATGAAGCTACGTGGTCTCTCCAGGTTTACTCAATCCAGAGGACTAAAGTGTGGGATCTATAGCTGTGGGTTTGTATAGACCTGTTCTATTAGTTTTGTGCTACCCAGGAGCTCCATAAGTGAGACTTGAAAGAAGCTCCTGAGGAAAAAAAGCATCAAAAGACTTCTGAGAGGATAAAGGCCCTGGGTTTGCAGTGCTGTCTGTAATCCAATATTGGTTGCCTAAAAATAGAAGGCGTCATTCAGAGATATTCTAGGTCCTGCCCACTCTGGATGCCCTTATCTTTTCACTTCAAAGGCTGATGGAATGAACCAAAATGAAGTTCAGCGTTTCCCAAACTTCAATTAATCACAACTACCCCGCCCACCTTTTTCGGTCATATTCTTCTGTCATAATTTGCTTAATAATTAAAAAATCACTCACTTTTTAACTTAAAATATAATTAAAAGGAAACTTGAAATCACATGGGTTTGATAGCCTAGTTGTGCTATTCTGATATCCATTAAAAGAACCATTCAAATAAAAAGAACATCTTTTCATGTGCCATCTGAAATTATGTGCTATGCACTCCACGCTTAGGGAAATACTGGACCAAGTAAATGGGTAAACAGAGGAACTTAACTCATTAGGAAAAACTCAGTAAACAAGGAGAAATTAGGATAATCAGCCTTAGCTTTGTTGGAAATGTGGATAAACTTATTTTAGTGAGAATTTTAAGGATAACGAGGTCTAAAGGCAAGGGTCCGAATTAGTTAAAATTTCAAAATCTTACTAAGATTTTGATTTTTTAAAAAACTCTGAATGTCTCTGCACTGACTTCACTAGCATAGCTTTTGGTGTCTTTCTCCCTGATGGCAGGGCCCTTGCCTCTTTTCTCCCCGTAGTGTGCGAGGTCTGGGGATGCTCATGTCTGTCCTTTCCTTTCCTTAGCCTCCTTCACTTTATATACCTGGAACTGCCCTGTCCCCAGTTGGTCTCTGAGAGAAGGCTGACATCACCATCCCACCTCTCTAGAGCCTTCTTTTACCTTGAAAAACCTAAGCTGAGCACCAAAGTCCCGGGGAAGGGTATGCTGTTTCTTTTCCAGTAGCTGGTTGGGCTGATTTGGAACCACTGACCCCTATTGCGAGACTTCCTTAGGACCTTTGAAATGGGTTTTTATATTGGTTTATTACATTTTGTGACTTAGGATGGGTATGTGCTATCTAACTGGAAGCTGCTGCCAGATGGAGACCACTGTCTTTTTATTTTATCTTATTTTTTAGCAAGACACAGTTGAATTCAAATGTCACTGAAAGGATACCACAGATGCCTTCTGTGCCAAGCATGATCCTTCAACAGCTTTAGCACTGATTCTTTCATAACTGCTAATAGGTGAGTGGTACCATATACTCTTTGCAAAAATGGCGAACACTTGTGAGTATTATGGAGCTACTCCTGGCTGTGTCCTGGAGACTTCAAAGCATTTCTTAGTTGGAAGTATTACACATTCACTTTGTTCTGCTTGGAATCTGATCTCAGTGGGAACCAGAATGTCCTGTATTTCTCACTGGTCACCTAGTTTTCATTTGCAGCTCAAACAATTAGAAACAAATGTCTGGAACAGGTTATTTTCTTCTAAAGAGAAACATAGCAACACTAGGACTACTTGCTCTGGCCTTACCCTCCATTCCCAGGAGACGAATTCAGTTCTGAGCTCTCCCAGGAGAATATGTTTGCTGTAAGGGAGGTCAGAATTGTGTACATTCGGAATCACCTTGATAAAACCACCCGGACTCAGGTCAGCCTCATTCCGTGTTCATTCTGACCCTGCTCAGGGAGTTGGACCAATGATTCTGTGGTTTCTACAGCCCGACTCAAATTCAATGGACTGGGCAGAATTCTGTTTCCTCTGAGCTGTATGGGTCCTTTCATATGCCCCAAAGTCTTTTTTTTCACATACACGTTCCGCTCCTCTCCTATGGAAGGGATGAACCATATTTCACCTCTTCCCAGGAATCCTACTCAACACGAGCTATTTCACCCATTTCAGGATTATTTCTGCCTCCTTAGATGGAGGATGCCTTAACCTCAAATTTAATAAATAAATAAATAAATGAGTTACTTACTTGGTTCCACAGTCACACGGGTTCCTTTTCCAAAGATGAGTTTATCTGTGTGCCACAGCACTTGAGGGTGTTCCAAAAACCTCAGCGCTGCTCCCACCTGCTTTCTTCCCATTAGCTTTAGGACTGGAGGATCTTTAAGGCTCTGCTCCTTGAAAGATTGCTTGTTGCTTATCCAACTGGTTCACAGATGACATTATCATCTGCAGGTAGGGATAGGTTTGCTTTCGGAAGGCAGTTGTCTGAGGAGTGTGCAGGAGCATATTTCCTATGGCAGACCTTTCCAGCACAGCACACTTGATGCAGTGCTCTGAACTGTGGCTTTCTATTGTTTTAGATTGCTCTCACTTCCTAGACCCATACTCAGCAATCCCTGTTGGAAAGCTGGCACTGTCAAAGAGGTGGGCCTTGGCTCCATGACTACTCCAGGTTTAAGGCCTTTACAGCCACCATTGCTGCTTTAAAGGCAGATAATGTGTGGCACAGCAAGAGAAGACAGGGCAGCATGAAGCACTGGGTGATTTACAGAGCAGTCAGCTTTAGAATGAGCCACTGTGGCTGGTGATTGCTTACAAACAAATCAATCTCCCTTCAAATCCATCTTCCCAAACTGCAAAGCAAAGCACTTGGGTAAATCTCTCTAGGGATTTGAATTTCGAAATTCCGTATCAGGTGGCTCATATAACTTTCTTTTGCAATAGAATCAACATGAAAGCAAGGTAAGAATAGTTTTTAAGGAATACCTTTTTGTATTCCCCAAATGTGCTGTAAAAAAATGTAGAAATGCCAGTATCACCCAAGGGAGAACAGCAGTGAGTGAGAGGTCAGCAGCTGTGGTCATCTCCCTGGTCCAGTCAACTTCCTGCTATCCCTTCCAGGCCCCAGAGCAAGAAGGTAGCTGCTTGCTCTGTTTGTCTCCTGAGGCGTGGGACCCAGGCTGAGGATATCCCAGGGAAATGGCACTTTTGCCCCTGCAGTTTTTGTACAGGTCTCTGTGGGTTATGTAGCACTGTGCGTATCCCCCCAATCACAGTGCTACAGAGCTTTACAAAAACTTCCCCTCGGTTTCACACTATACGGCCCCTGAGAATCCACAGAACCAGATGTTTTCTCGAAGCCAAGTTTTATCAAGATCAAAGGGTTCTGACAGTTAGGTTATGCCAAGCTGGCCCAGGTGCTCCTACCTGGGGCTTTTCTGCTCCACTGGCTAGCTCTACCTTGGGGTTTGTGACTAGAATGGACTTTTAGAAATCATCACATCCGCTCCCACTTGTGCTTTCTGGCCAATCTGCTCTCAGATGGTTTCCCACTGAGGAGTCTGTCAGGTACTTAAACATCTCACGTAGATTCACGTGCTGTGGGTGAGGCAGAAAATGCTTGTGGTCAGTGTAATTTCTCCTGTCAACTGCTAAGCTTCTGAATTACCTCTCCCTGCCCTGCTTTACACTTGAATAGTGTTATACAGTTTACAGAGGGTTTTCATGTAAATTTAAAATTTCGTTCTCTCCACTGACCTCCTCCTAGTTGCTAAATTCAGGCCAGTAGCCCATATGGTACTTTGTGTGATTTAGAAAAGGCGGCCCTGCTGGGTGAATGCAGACTTAGCCCCCTAGATTCAAGCTTGGTGAATGGATTGCACTTTTGTGTGGTTTATAAAAGGCCTTCCCTTTCCGGAAGATGCAGCCCCACATCAGGGCCTTGGCTGGTGGCAGAGCACACATTGAATGTTAGCCCCACTTCTCTCTGCCAGGTGCACTTGTGAAGGCACAACCTGTGCAGTCAGAGGCAGCAGCTCTGGCCAAATTCAAGATGATTTTCAGTTTTAATCTTGTTTGACCTCTGGGTTTTGACCCAGTCATTGCCTTCTCAAAACTTCTCCTCAGGGCTCACAGGACACTGGTCTTGTTTGCCTTTGATCTCTGTTCTAGTGCTGTCAAAACAAAGCAATATGAAAGGCTCATCGGAAGTGACCTTATTAAATGTTAACCACGAAAGTGGAGTATGAAGTTTGTTGTTGTTGCTATTTATCAACAGGGAGCAGGAATTTAAAAAGGTTAACCTTCACACTTTCCCTGGAGGTCTTATCCAAATCCATGGTTTGATTTAATTATGACTATTTTACCTATGACCTTTGTGATGACTTTTCACCCCACATACAGCTTCATGCCTGCCCCATAAACTCCAAGCAATGTTATCTCTATATACAAAGTCTAACATTCTTTTGCTGATTAGAAAAAAAGCAAATAGGAAAGGAGGAAAATAAGAAATGTTATGGCCTCAATAAAAGACGATGTAATGGGATGGCATAGAGCAAAAGGCCTCATGAGGAGAACCAGATAAGAATAAAAAACTGTAACCTGGACTCTTGAGTGTAGCTGCCTTAGGTACTAGTCTTTGAAATGGCGAGAGGTAGGTGATTGTTGAACTAAGCTTCTGACTCATCCATATGAGCCTCATTGAGCTCCTTCTGGTGCTGGTGACTTTCCCAAGAAGCAGCCATCAGAAACTGGTGTGAAGAGAATTAGTTAGAGGAAACAAAAAGTTGGGAATCCTGATGAGAATGCAGCTTCCCAGCTCTTCACTTCCTCCCTGTAATAGAAGTGTACCTCTAAGTTCTTTGCCACGTGACTTTGCAGGGCTTCCTACTACAGGCTCTATTGACATTGGGGCTTCATCATGCTTTGATTCATAGAATATGAGTAGAAGTGACAGTGTGCCAGTTCTAAGCTGAGGCTTCAAGACACATCACATCATGGGTTTCCACTAGCACTCTTTTTTTTTTTTTTTGAGACAGAGTCTCACTCTGTTACCCAGGCTGGAGTGCAGTGCCATGATCTCGGCTTACTGCAACCTCCTTCTTCTGGGTTCAAGTGATTATCCTGCCTCAGCCTCCTGAGTAGCTGGGATTACAGGCATGCACCACCATGCCTGGGCAATTTTTGTATTTTAAAATAGAGACAGGGTTTTATCATGTTGGTCAGGCTGTTCTCGAACTTCTGACCTTGTGATCCGCCCACCTCAGCTTCCCAAAGTGCTGGGATTACAGGCACAAACCACCGTGCCTGGCCTCCACCAGCACTGTTTAGCTTCTGTCCTTTGAGAAGAGAAGAGTGTTCTCCAGGGAGTCATTGCTGCTTGACCTTGAGCCCTAGAATGAAGACACACAGAACAGACCTAAATCCAACTCGTGTCTTAAAGCCACGTCCAGCTGGCCCGCAGACCAGTAAGCAAAAGTGATACATGTTTGTTACTGTAAGCAATTGAAATTTGGGGGCTGTTTCTTGTAGATCATAATTATAACAGAAATACCTGATTAATACAGATGGTGGGTCTTGGGAGAACTCCACCTTCATATGCTTTTAACTCTATATCTCCAGCAATTATGAAATGGCATACATAAAATTTTTGGTGGCTTCCTATTATCCTCAGGACAAAACAGTATAAAACACAAGACCTTAGCTTACTTCCTCCCTTAAACACAGTTGCGTTGAATTTACTTCCTGAATGCTTCAGGTTCTTGCATATTTCTTTGCTTGCAATGCCCTTTCCTTCTCCTATCCCACAATTGATCCCTAGCCCCTCTCCTTAAATCCTCTGCATTTTCAGGGTCTTAGCTTAGTTGTTGGCTTCCCTGGGAATTCCTAAATGACTGTCCCAAACTGATCTGGGTTAAGTGCTCACCCTTCTCAGGATTTCCATGGCATCCAGTACTTACCTCTATCTTTGCACTCAAAAGCCTTTTTCACTTTCCTTCATTAGGTCGAGATCCTTGAGAGAAGTGATCTGTCTTGTTCATCCCTGTATACCCTGTGACAGCACAGAGCCTGACCCAGTGAGTGCTCAAAAGTTGCCTTCTGAATCTATTTCAAGGATGAGGCATTTCAGGTTCAGGGAAGATAAGCAAAGTGACAGAGCCATGGCCAGATCCTCCCAACTTCCAGGCTCTGGCTCACTGCCTGGCACCAGGATGCCTTATGGAATACTACCTTACATTTGTTTAGTGGTACACAGCACCATTCCTTATAAACACATTGATTTTTAACATTAGTCTGAGTTAAACATGGTTGAGAAGTTTAATTTGTTGTGATTTGCTCCATACCATTTAATATATTCTAAAGCCGTATAGAAATGAGTTTCACATCATCTGCCTATTTGGAGCATTCAAGTCATGTTCTCTTCCACTAGCACAGGTAATCAAAGATCAATTGCACCTCTGGAGAGGAATCCTCAAATGCCACAGCTAGGAGACATTTCAAAGATCATATATTCACTCTCCTGGGTTTTCAGATGAGAGAGTCTAGAAAGATCCAGAGAGGTTTCACAACTTGGCCAAGACACCCAATTTCAAAAGAACATACAAGGAACTGGGTATCTATATCCCAGTGCAGTGATCTTTTTGGTACACTAGGCAAATGTCTTCTTTGGCCTTGCATTCTGGCATTTATGGTTTGAGAATGTTTCAGCCTCTCAGCCGATCCCCTTCCCTGGAATGGCCATAGGATAGTCTGGACAACCTGGCCCTTTCTCTGTGTAGATTTTAATTGTTATGTGAGATGCTCTTCTGCAGGAAAGGGGAAGAGCAGGTGCAAGGTGGATGAATCCTGAAGTCCAACTGTTCCTGGAAGGACCCTGTGTCATGTTCTTTTTGCCAGGCAAACTCATTTTCAGAGGAAAGGGACAGTGTTGGATGCTAGGTTTACTGTGGTACCGTTCAGTTTTGGCTGGATTGAGGCCTCACGCTTGGGAGTAAATTTATGGAATATCAAGTCAAGAAATGAAATAGGGATTGAATAGGGGCATCCTCTAGGCTTAAACTATTTGGGATTGTGGACCTGGAACTAGTGTTATTTATCTTGACCCCCTGCTCCTGGTATTAACACATACAGTTTGATAGTTGTCGACAAACTACAACATATTTTAAGTATTTTAAAAAGGATACCAGGTTGTTTAAGAGACTTCAAACTATGTCCTGGGAGGAACAGTGTCTCCTGCACATGGGAGACTATAGACCAAAGAAAGGGAGGTGTCTGTTTGATTATAGTCTTCAGATATCTATTAGAGAGGAGCTGG